CACTATGTAAGTTCTCTTTTTCTTGAGGTTCGATCTTCAAGAACAATTGGGATTATCACTTTGCTGGAACATCACTCTGTGGACTACTCTTTGGAGGACTTTTATATACGTTGTGGACATTTATTTTTGGACATTATCATCATTAAGAATTTATCTGTTATATATTGATTATTAGCACTTTATTTATATCTTGATTTATACACTTTTGGGGTAAAAGTGTGTATGTGCATTTAGGGTATTATTTATATATATAGGAGGATCACCGTAGTTTTGTTATTTTATTTTACACATGTGCAATGCACAGGCTCCTGCAGACTCTTCCCCAGCCACAGGTCTGTACGGAGGTAAGGGGATCTACTGTGATGAGTTCAATGGGCTATGAGTGCAATGAAATCACCACACTTCTGCTAAAATGAGATCTGTGAGTCCCTCTGCCACAGTGGCAGATGGAACTTGTAGTCTCTCCATTAACACAAATGGATATGTGAATGGACGACGTTGCTTTGTAGGTGGAACCACGCACAGCTGCATTCAATTCAAAAGAAAACGAAACACTCGAGGGTGAAGCACCCCAATATTTAGGTAAGTGGGGGTGGGGGGGGGGCGGTTTGAAGGGGGAATGTGACCATGTTTCACCCCAAGGATAGCAAAGTGGCTTGGGGGTTAGCACTTCTGCCTTGCAGCACTGGGAAGTCTTTGCTAAATCCCAACCAGGACAATATCTGCTTGGAGTTTGCATGTTCTCATTGTGTTTGTGTGGGTTTCCTCACACCAGAGCTTTTTGTTGAGCAGGAATGTGGGGAAACACAGTTCTGACACCTCCTGCCCCAAATGTATGGAATGGCAAGGATGCTGAGGTGTGCTGGGGGGTCTACTGATGCTGTTTTGGTGGAGGATCTATTGTTGCTGGGGCGCCGATTATTACGGAGGGGGTCTCTTGTTGGTTGCTGGAGGGTCTATTGATGCTGGCTGCTGGGAGATCTATAGCTGCTGGTGGGGGGTCTGTTGTTGGGGGATTATTTTTTTGTGGGGGGTCTGTTGTTGGGGGGGGGGGGGGGGTTATTTTTGTGGGGGTCTATTGTTGCTGGGAGATCTATTGTTGAAAGGAGGTTGGATTGTTCCTGGCTGCAAGGGATTTATTTTACAGCTTATCATTAACAAATCCCATACAAATTACTTACCACTACAAAATGATACTTGGTTCTATATTCTCTAAAAGGGGCAGTACTGAGAGGTGGGGGGCCAAGGGACGGTGCTTGGAGGTGGGTAGGGGGCGGAGACAAGGAGTGACTCAAAAGGCATAGTTCCTGCACCAATTCCTTGAGAAAAAAGCCCCGCCTCCCACACTCCAAAGACATGTTCATTGGCTGCTGTCTAAATTGGCCCTAGTATGTGTGCATGTGAATTAGAGACCTGCGATAGAGGACATGGATTGATGTGAACGTACAATATATAAAGCACTGTGTCAACTGTAAAAGATGAATAGAAAAATACGGGTGAAACATGGCCCCACAGGTGGACCATGCCTTTAAATATTGGTTTGGATCGCAAAACGGCCTCCTGGGTGTGGACAGCAGATCCGGTTTGAAGACTTTTTTTTTTTTTCAGAAAGAAACAACTGTAACTTCCCAAGGTCGCAAGGGGCCAACAAAAGCTCTAAACAAGCCCATCGACAAATCTTTCACTGTCATTGTTAGAGCGTCAATCTCCCCGGCCAATCGCCTTCTCTCCATCTTGCTTTGTTTAGAAAGCCTCTCTTGTTAGGTGAAATGGCTATTATCAGAGGGCCTCTATTATTACTCTGGTGTTGAATGTCATTTTAGCTTTGAGGCAGAACTCATCCCCCCCCCCATGAGTCTGACTTCCATATCTCAGGACCTTTAAATCTTATCAATTCCACTGCCCGCACTACCACCTTCATCCACGTGGTGGAGCTGTGCCTCTGCCATAGAAGCCTGTCCTCTGCCTGTGTCTCCCCCTCCCTGCTGGCATGCCTTTGTGTATAGGAATCTAAAAAAAAAAATGTTTTAACCCTCCTCGAACATTGAGGGAATTACTCAAGTTTTTGTTACACCTCTCGGGTCCCTTGTGCACTGAAAACAGTTCAGCCTGAAATAACTAGTCTATTATTTTGTAAGGAAGTTAAAAATGATTGCACTTGCATCGTCTGCCAAATCACTTGAAATACACTTTTGGCAACTTAGGAAACTTGTTTTTTTTTTTTGCTGTAAACCACAGATGTTGATTATAAGTGGACATTGGTTGATTCAGATTGTAAAAGCTCATTGATTTGGCGCTAAGTGCCGAAAAATGGGGACATATTCTATTTTGTAGCACCGAGAGCCCCGGGGGCCTCGAAGTGATGGAATACCAGCCCTGGCAAAAAAAAATATGGAATCACCACTCTTGGAAAATGTTCATTCAATTGTTTAATTGTATAGAAAAAAAAAACAATCACAGACGTGCCTCAAAATTATTTCCATTTAACATTCCAACCTTCTGTCTTTAAGAAACACTTAAAAAAATAAAAAAGAAAGAAAACGAGTCAATTGCAACTGTTTCTGCAGATGAAGCAGAGGAAAAAAATATGGAATCACTCAATTCTGAGGGAAATATTATGGAATCATCATGTACTTTGCAGTTCTAAAACAAACATCTGCATCAGATTACATCTGCTAATTAGTCTGCAGTTAAGAAAGAGTGCTTGTATACCTCGGTGAGCTGTTGCACCAAACTGATTGACGTGAATCATGGCTCCAACACCAGAGATATCAATTGAAACAAAGGAGAGGATTATAAAACTTCTTCAAGAAGGTAAATCATCAGGGGATGTTGCAAAAGATGTTGGTTGTTCCCAGTCAGCTGTGTCTAAAATCTGGACCAAGTACAAATCATAGGGGAAGGTCGTAAAAGGGAAGCATACTGGTGGACCAAGGAAGACATCAAAGCGTCAAGATAGAAAACTTAAAGCAATATGCCTTGAAAACAGAAAATTCACAACAACACAAATGAGGAACAAATGGGCAGAAACTGGAGTCCATGTCTGTGAGCGAACTGTAAGATGTCACCTAAAGGAAATGGGATTTACACACAGAAAGGCCAAATGAAAACCATCATTAACACCTAAACAGAAAAAAACAAGGTTACAGTGGGCTAAAGAAAAGCAATCATGAACTGACTGGATGAAAGTGATATTCAGTGATGAATCACGAATCTGCATTGTGCAGGGTGATGATGCTGGAACTTACTTTAGTTTGGTGCAGTTCCAATAAAATGTATAAAGACGACCGCCTCAAGAAAACATTGATGATATGATCAATGATTGTGGAAATTTGCATGTTTTCCTCAGGCAGTCGTCTTTATACATTTTATTGGAACTGCACCAAACTAATAAAGTTCCAGCATCATCACCCTGCACAATGCAGATTCGTGATTCATCACTGAATATCACTTTCATCCAGTCAGTTCATGATTGCTTTTCTTTAGCCCACTGTAACCTTGTTTTTTTCTGTTTAGGTGTTAATGATGGTTTTCATTTGGCTTTTCTGTGTGTAAATCCCATTTCCTTTAGGCGACATCTTACAGTTCGCCTGAGGAAAACATGCAAATTTCCACAATCATTGATCATATCATCAATGTTTTCTTGAGGCGGTCATCTTTATACATTTTATTAGAACTGCACCAAACTAAAGTTCCAGCATTATCACCCTGCCCAATGCAGATTCATGGTTCATCATTGAATATCACCATACCGAGTTCCATGTCAGGTAATGGTATGGGGGAGATGACCGTCATTAAATCTTCAATAAATTCACAAGTTTATATTGAGATTTTGGACACTTTTCTTATTCCACCAATTGAAAGGATGTTTGGTGATGATGACATAATTTTTCGATGATAATGCATAAAAGCCGTGAAAACTTTCCTTCAAGAAAGACATCTGATGTCAATGGCATGGCCTGCAAATAGTCCGGACCTCAATCCAATTGAAAGTCTATGGTGGAAATGAAAGAAAATGTTCCATGACAGGGCTCCAACCTGCACAGCTGATCTGGCAACTGCTATGAGAGAAAGTTGGGGCCGGATTGATGAAGCATACTGTTAGTCCATAGTTAAATCCATGCCTCAGAGGATTCAAGCTGTTATAAAAGCCAGAGGTGGTGCAACAAAGTACTAGTAGTGTAGTGTAGTTTTTTTTTTATGATTCCATAATATTTTCCTCAAAATTGAGGGATTCCATATTTTTTTCCTCTGCTTGATCTGCAAAAACAGTTGCAACTGACTACAGTTTTCTTTCTTTTTTAATTTTTGTATGTGTTTCTTAAAGCCAGAAGGTTGGAATGTTAAATGAAAATAGTTTTGAGGCACGTCTGTGATCGTTTTTTTTCTACATAATTAAACAATTGAATGAACATTTTCCAAGAGTGGTCACTCCATACCTTTTGCCAGGGGTTGTAGTAGGGTTCTATTTCTTCCAAGCCTGGTCCTACTTATACAGGACTCAGAAGGCCAGCATAGTAGGACGGACGATAAAGTGTTACTAAACCCACAACAGTAAAATCAGTCTGTATATGCAGCAAAGCATGCTTGTTATACTCACTGTGGAACCTAAGGGGTTAATCCTCTGCACTGTGTAAAAAGGTTGTTTGATCCTGACTTCTCTGATCCTCCCCTTCTTCCAGTGTCCCCCTCTTATCTCCTGATGAGACATATCATGTGGAGAGACTCTGCACATGCTCAGTTTGGTGTGTATTGCTAGTGTTTTGTTTTTTTCTTGGGAGAGTGCATGTGATCAGCAGAGGGCCAATCAGCACTGTCCAGGCAGTACTCTGCTGAACACTGATAGAAGTCACAATACTGCTGTAACTGCTGATGAGAAAAGGTATTTATCAGTTTATATTTACTAAAATAATTGCACTTCCATGTTCTGTGTACTGTGGGAGACCAGATATAGTGAATGCAGGGTCTGGGGAGACCAGATATAGTAAATGCAGGGTCCGGGGAGACCAGATATAGTGAATGCAGGGTTCGGGGAGAGCAGATATAGTGAATGCAGGGTCCTGGGAGACCAGATATAGTGAATGCAGGGTCCGGGGAGACCAGATATAGTGAATGCAGGGTCCTGGAAGACCAGATATAGTAACTGCAGGGTCCGGGGAGACCAGATATAGTGAATGCAGGGTCCGGGGAGACCAGATATAGTGAATGCAGGGTCCGGGGAGAGCGGATATAGTGAATGCAGGGTCCGGGGAGAGCGGATATAGTGAATGCAGGGTCCGGGGAGATCGGATATAGTGAATGCAGGGTCCGGGGAGAGCGGATATAGTGAATGCAGGGTCCGGGGAGAGCGGATATAGTGAATGCAGGGTCCGGGGAGAGCGGATATAGTGAATGCAGGGTCCGGGGAGACCGACCGATATAGTGAATGCAGGGTCCGGGGAGATCAGATATAGTGAATGCAGAGTCCGGGAGACGGATATAGTGAATGCAGGGTCCGGGGAGACCAGATATAGTGAATGCAGGGTCCGGGGAGACCAGATATAGTGAATGCAGAGTCCGGGGAGACCAGATATAGTGAATGCAGGGTCCTGGGTTTAGTAACACTTTAACTCAAGATATAAGAAACACAAAGGCCAAAAACATTTCTGGGGCCTGGAGCTTGGGAACCCAATGGATTGTACATTTGGGAGATCCTGGAAGGGAAGTGCCTGTTTCATGAGAGCCATTTGTCCTGGGGTTTGATGGCAGCAATATCAGTGGTGAGGAGTGAGATCTTTCACGGCGGTTGGATTACAAAGAAAGGTCTGCCCTTAGGATGGCTGTGATAGAAGGCAACTGGATTGGGCTTGGTGCAACATCCAAAGTCCACCCAGATAAGGCCTGATATCTACCAGCCTTTCAGCACGGGGGCTGGTGCCTGGTAATGGGTTAACTAGCATAAGCAAGCATCAAAGTTACTTAGTCCTTAGTAGTAGAACTTTTGCAACATGGTAGAAAATGCAACTGATATGCGATTGTTCTCCACAGCAAAGTTCTTTCATCATTTATAAGCTTCAGAGGTCCAGCGAGGAGCCACCAAATGCATCAACTGAGTGCAAGCTCTTGTGGGTGGAGCTCCCTCCCTTTGCTCTCCTTGTACGTTGCTCTTCCAGAATTGCAAAGTTTATTTATATTACACTGACAACTTTTTCAGAGCTTTATATATTGTACATTCACGTCAGTCCCTGCCCTCAAGGAGCTTACACTCTAACTTACATACACAGGGCTAGGACAAGGGGTGGGCAGGAGGGGCGGTTACCATGGGCGCTGTGGTATTGTAAGGTGGGGGGGGGGGGCTGCATTGGAAGGGGGGGGATTTTTGTTTGGGGAGAATTTTGACTTGCAAAGGGAATTTATGCTTGGGGGTAAGTATGCAGATTAGTGCTCACATTTGTTTTTTGGAGGGCAGGGAGGGGATTTTTGCTGACACATAATGCTCATACATTTTGGGTAGGAAGGCGCCGTTTGGCATCTTCATCCTGGGTGTTACAGGACCTTGCCTCGGCACTGCACATACAGTATATACATTCTTAGTGGTCACCACTTCTGCCTTGTAGCCCTAGGACCATCGGTTTGAATCCCAACCAGACATGGAGTTTATAGTAAACAAAAAACTGATCAGTATGACACACACGGAGGAAGTGAATTTCGATCAATAGTTGGAAGCTACGATCGTAAATCATCGATCCCATCTTTGTTTCCACCATGCAATCTCATAATCTGATCCTTCGAATTACAAATAGATTCCACACCAAAGCGTATCAGTGGCTGCCAATCGATTCAAAATGATCAATAGTTTTCCACCCTAGAACATCGACCAAAGCAAGTCCAAATCGATTGGATCGGATCGATTCAGTTACAGTATTTTCATTGAATCGCACATCGATCAGATGGGAAAGTTGAAGCATGTATGGCCACCAATGGATCGACCAAGGACTATGTAGTACAAGGGCCTGAATGATTGGATACAAATTGCTTGGATAGTTAGTTACTAAATGATCTCCTTATTCTCCACAAATAATCCACTACTCAATGTCCCTGTAAACTATTTTTCATGAAATAGTTTCTTACTGTTTTTCTCTGCCTATTCGTAATGTCCTCCATGAGCTCCTGAACCTCTCCTTTTCCTTCTCACTTTAATCTGTTTGGAATGAGCAGTGCACGTTAGTTGCAATCATGTGCAATGTTCTATGCACACTACAAATTCCATAGTTTATAGTCCATCTCAGGAGTCAGCAAGAGGGGGGGAGACGTTCCTACATACAGTGTGACCATGGGGAATGAATATTGCCACCATGTAACAGGGCGCCACATCACAGAATCTAAAAAAAAGGGATTTGGAGGAGGCTGAGAGCCATAGAAGGAACTTTTTGAGTTATGGATACATACTTAGTTTTTGTTTTGTAAAGTTTAGTGAGTTTAGTGTCACTTTAAGGCCAGCCATAGACAAGTCAAAGACCGACCGTTCTGTCCATCAACAAAAATGGCGCATAGAACTGTGTCATCATTTGTTTTGTTTTTCTAAAAAAAAGTCCAGCATGTTAGATCAGGCGCTTTCAATTGCGACAAAAAATCACAAGTCGCAGCTGGCACACTAATGATGCAAAAATCAAACGGCCAAGAATTTTCGATTGGTTTTTAACTCATCTATGGCCTGCTTAAGGTAGGTTCTTAAAGCGGTTGTAAGGGCTCAAGGTTTCTATGCATGAAGGTAAAAACCCTTCTGTGTGCAGCTTCCCCCCTATACTTACCTGAGCCCCATTGTGATCCACCACTGTACACAACAGCCTCAGCTCTCCGGGGACTCTGCATCCTCATTGGCTGTGACAGCAATGGGAGCCATTGCCTGTCAATCACAGCCAGCGAGCCAATGAGGAGAGAGAGGGGATGAGACTAAGCTGCGGCTCTGTGTGTGAATGGACATGCAGAGCAGCGGCTTGGGAGTGAGCCTGCTTGGGTACCCCCATAGCAAGCTGCTTGCTCTGGGGGCACTTGGCAGGAGGGAGGGGTCAGGAGCGCCGGCGGGGGACTCGAGATGAGGGGAATCGCGCCTGCTTTATGTAAAAACCGTTACACAGAACAGGTATGACTTTTTTTTTTTTTTATTGGATTTAACTCCTTGGCACTGGTGGTACACAAATATGCAGCGTACCTAATGTAAACAAACATGCACCAAGTGTGAGCCCCCTAGCCCGTTTACCAGCACCTCATGGAAAGGTCACAATTACTACTTGCTTCTGGGAACATTCCTATCTTGTGACTGCTGTGACAGCCAATCACAGCGGTAACATGACCCTAAACTCTGCCCCTGCCTCCCGGCATCACAAACCCCTTAAAGCACTGGGAGGCGCTGGCACCAAGGGGTTAATATCACTTTAGTTTTCATAGTTTTGGTAAAGTTGATTGTATGGTCAGATTGTAACATGTATGGTGAGCTTTAAGTTGATCAGTACTCTTTGTCCCTCCCCAGACCTCCTTCTCTCTAGCTCCCTTGTCACCGCCTCCCATGTTTGCCTACTGGACTTCTCTAAAGCCTCTCCTATCCTCTGGAACTCCCTACCCCAATATATTCGACAATCTCCTACTCTGTCCATTTTTAGCCGATCCCTGAAAACTACTGCCCCCACCTAAAAACTGAACATATATTCTGTCCGTCAGCCCATCCTCCACCGTTATTACCTTTTGTATCTCGTGACCCCCCCCTCTCTTATATTGTAAGCTCTAACGAGCAGGGCCCCCTGATTCCTCCTGTACTAAATTGCATTGTGACTGTAGTCTGCCTTATGCGTAAACTGTATAAATCCTGTATAATAATAATCAATTTTTTCCTAATATTCAGCCAACCTATTTACTAAGGGCCATTGATGGTATGGGGGGGGCTTGGGTGTTGTGGTGTTCTCATACACCCGGTAGCTGTGGGAAGGTCAAGCACTTTCCCGACAACCCAAGGCATCTCCCCACCAAGTTTCTACTTTGACAACCGTTTCTTGGGTCGTCAAGTTGTACGTTGGTTGGAATTGTCGTGTTTATGGCCGGCCTCATTGTACTCCTCCTCGCACGTCTGTGCAACTACTGACAGGACAGTGTTGCATGGCAGAGCGGATCCTCCTCGCCCACATCTCCGGCCTGCTATGAGCGAAGTTGTACAACGTCTACACTGTACAGGCCTGGGGCCACCATGTAGACCGGGACAAGCATGTCCAGAACGCACACGCTGGGATCGGGCCTCACCGAGGTGGAGCGCACACACCGCAGGCAGGTTAATAGTACAACCATCAGGAGGCCAGGAAGCCGCCGTGATGCCAGGAAGGAAACTAGAAAAAGTCGACCTTGCATGTACAATGTATGAAGCCAGAAAAAAAAGTTATCCTAAAATCTTGCATCTTTATTAACTTACTAGGGGGGGGGGAGGGGGGGGGGATCTGGTAAACTCCAAACTTTCTGCAGAAAACTTTCTTGTTGCTGTTTGGAAAGAGCAGCGAGCAGCTCAGGCATTGCCCTAAGTCACTGAAGGAGTTAAAGGAGCCCAGATAGCAGAGACTAGGTTTATTTAGCCTGCAAACCAGCTGCACAAGATCCAGGGCGGGAGAGATAGGAAGTTTTTTGGGGGAGGGGACCTTGCTTGTCACTCCAGGGTGGAGGATGGGCACTGTGGAGCTGGGTGCGGCATTGAACACAAGTGAGCTGCAACTTTTGCAAAACAGCTTTTTTCTTTCTTCGGCTGGGACACAGCTGCAGTCACTGCCCTGCAACCGAGCCGAATCGAACTTGCCCTGTACAAGCGAAAGGGGGGGCAGAATTTTTATTAGCAGGGTATTCTGAGCTACTCAACAGACTGCAATCACTTAAAACAAAAAAAAAACAAAAAAAAAAAAACAAAAAAAAACAACAACCATGCATAAAGTGTTTGACTTTCTGGTGTAGTGTACAGATAATATGCGTTCTGACGATCCTTTTCCACGCAGACATAAAAGAAAAGTGAAACTTTTTTTAATTTGTTACACTATTATTATTATTATACAGGATTTATATAGCACCAACACTTTGCACAGCGCTTTACAACATGACAGTACAGTTACAATACAACTCAATACAGGAGGAATCAGAGGGCCCTGCTCCTAGGAGCTTACAATCTAAGAAGGTGGGGGTTATTTACTAATACTGGAGCATGCAAAATCTGATGCAGTTCTCTGCAGAAACCAATCAGCTTCCAGGTTTTATTTGCCAAGCCTAACTGAATAAGCTGAACTTAGAAGCTGATTGGCTCCCATGCACAGCTGAACCAGATTCTGAGTGCAACAGTTTTAGTAAATCTCCCCCATAATCTCCAAGGGGGGTGTAACGGATTGCTCCTTGCAGAGATAAGCAGTTAGGAGTCACCAGCACTCTAAAGATGCCTTCAGAAATGTATTGCAAACATATAATGTCACATATGTGCCAACATTTCAGGGCCTTGCAGGGTTCCCCTCCTCAGGCCATTT